CCGTGCCACCGGCGGAGCCGCAGCCGGTCGCGGTCGCGCAGCCCCAGCACGCTGCGCTCCACCGCGCACACCACTACCACGGCAAGGGCTGGCCCGAGTACCAGGAGAAGGAGGAGATCCTGCGGCAGAGGAGACTCACTGAGAGAATTGGAGAGCTGGGGGCACCTGAAGTATGGGGGCTGCCACCAGAGGTTCCTGACCCCGATTCTGATGAGCATACACCGGTAGAAGATGAAGAGGCAAAATCTAAGAGTAGTTCTTCGGATTCCAGCCCAGAAGAGGAAAAGAAGACAGAAGAAAAAACGTAAGGCATCCAAAAGAAAGCGCAGAAAACATTCTGAGGGCAGCGACAGTGAGTCGGAGTCTGAGCAGAACTCCAGTGATGAAGATAAAAAGAAAAGCAAGAAGAGGAAAAAGAAGAGCAAAAAGAAGAAGAAAAACAAGAAGAGCAGGAAGGAATCCAGCAATTCAAGTAGTGAAGATTCCAATGGTGAAACAGTTCAAGGGGATGATCTCTGGACTGAGAGATCAAAAAATACTGAAGCTGATAGCCTGATTGGACCAGAGGCTCCCAAAACTCACACATCTCAGGATGACAGGGGAAAACGTATTCCCCAGAGAGGCGAGATCGGCTTGACCAGTGAAGAGATCGCATCGTTTGAGAGCTCTGGTTATGTCATGAGAGGCATCAGACATCGGCGCATGGAAGCCGTGCGTCTGTGCAGAGAACTAGACCTACAGCGCAGATGAGAAGAGAGCCCTGGCTTCCTTCAACTCAAATAAAGTACTTTTCACCCTGGGATCCAGAGAGGAGACTTGGCGGCTCTTTTCTCCTACTGAAGGGGAACTATGCCACCGAGACCCTCTCTGAGAAACCATGAGCAAGGAGTCAAACTTCTTCAATTCTGTTAATCTCCAGCAGGCAGCAGCAAAGCCAGCCTTCCCAGAGCCAGTGTAAGCGGGGAAACGCACAGGGGGAAGAGACTGAGGTCCAAGAGAGCGGCATCTGATCTCCGTCCCCTTCCCAAGAGGAGCACAGCAGCCAGCCAAATGTGCTTCAAGACCCCTCAGCCTGCCCTGTTCATCCTCCGTCAACGGACCAATCACCTCACACCCGTGTCAAGGGACACGCTGCAACACTGGCCATCTAACCTGCGGGCCCCGGAGGCCTTGGGCAGTGGGTCACCGTGCCCTGGCCCTCCCTGGGCTGCATACCTGAGAAGCAGGGGGTTCTCTCTGGTGAGAAGTGCGGGCTCACTCTCCCTTTAACAGCTCACACACAGCAGCTCGTCTGCAGTTCCAGTTACCCATCCAACATGGGCTAGAGGCTACAATAGGTATTTTAGTCTTCTGACTCAAGCGAGGATGTTTTTAAGCAGTCGTTGCACAAGGTCACCCATCTCCTGCGAGGGCCTGCTCCGTTCCGCCTCACCTCCGGGCGAGGGGAGAGCCACTGTCCCGCCGCGCGCCCGGAGTCCTCCTCGGGTGGGAACATGGGGCAGCCTGGCCCGGCAAGGCTGGGGGCGGTGGGGCAGGGCCTCCCGCCCGCAGGCAGAGATGTCTGGGACTCACACCTCGCAGATGATCACCGGGAAATCCACGTGAATGCGAGGGTGCTCTAGTTTCACTATGCCCTGAAAGAAGAGTCAGAGTGGTGATCAGAAAGGGACTGACATACAACACGCCTGAGCCCTGCCAGTCACCCCAGGACAGAGGACACTGTGCCCTAGAGTAACCACAGGGGCCAGGGTCCAAAAAGTGGCTGTGACACGTGGTAGGGCCTGAGAGCAGCAGGCAGAGCACAGGCACTCTGCCCTTCGAACTCGTCCCTGGAGAGCCCAGGGCAGCATGGCTGGCTGCCACACATGGCAGGGCGAGCAAGGAGGGAGCTGCTCTGCCAGGCACTGCCCGTGCAGCAGCTGGTGCGTGACTGGCAGATATCGGCCGTCCGTGCTTTTCATTCGGCACCTTCCATTCACGGGATTTAAAGGAATGAAAAGAGCTCTCTGAGGGAACGCAGCCGGGGCAGCTGGCACACAAGAAAAGCAGCTTTCTGTGCAGAGGGGAGGGGAGGCTACTGAATGAACGATCCCTCCACAGCAGCCACAGGCACCGTTCCCACGGTCCGTTCAAGCCTTCTCCTGTTACAGCACCAGGAGGAGCCACTGGCAGGTGGTGGGCTGGGGGCAGAGGGGGGAGCGGGGGCTCAAGGCTGGGCCTGCACCCACAGAGCCAGAGCAAAGCCTGAGCTAGCAAAGGGCTCTTCAGTGCTGGTACCTGCTCTCTTTGGCTCAGACAAGCTTTCCAACTGCATGAGTTTCAACCCAGATCAATGAGAAGTCAGTCCCATGGCCCAAGACTGCCTCTGCAACAATGTCAGTCTGGGAAGCAGCACCAAATCCTTCCCTCCATAACTGCCAGTGCAGTGCTCAGAGAGGTCCCATCCTGTTGGGGGGCTGCCTGTGCGGGGAGGCAGCAGGCCCGCCGAGCCCCTAGAAGTTGACAGTCTTAAAATATTGGATGGTATTAGGCCGTTCCCAGGAGAGCAGTGAAGTTAATTAACCGTTCACATAAACAGAGCAGCCTTGAGAATCAGGGAGATGACTAGAAAGGAGATAAACAGGATGGAATGTGCAAGGACGGAGATGTCGGCTGTGTTCACAACTGCAGGTGTTAGTTCTCTGGTGTTCTGTAGAAACTATGTTTACAGAAAGTGTGTGGGAAAGTCGGGGCTAACTACCTTAATAAAGGAGGCTGCTGCACTTACGAAGCAGACAGCTCTCTAGACTACTCTGGTCTCAACTCTGTGTGTGTGTGTCTGCTTTCTCTACTGACCAAACCTAACAATACGACACACACAGCTGCCCACCCCTAAGGGCACACTGCTCGTCCCAAGGCTTGCTAGAGCCGTGCCTTTCTGCTTACTTACAAAAGACTCCTGCAGAGTGTCTCTCTCCAGCCCTGGTTTGATCTACCTTTTTCTCCATTTATGCCCCCAAAAGCTTCCCTACACACAGGCTATCCTGCCCCTGCACCAAGACCTTCTATTAGTGTCCTAGCAACTGCCCAGCACCACACCAGTTGCTTATTTTGAGAAAAGACTTTTGCACTGAGGTGCAAAACATGGAGCTGTCATCACTACTGAGCAGCTGGAGGGGACGTGCCCACTCACATCAGTGGGTGATGGGCTTTGGCTGCTGCTCCCCAAGGCAGGGCCTGGCCCTCTGCACTGACATGATATGGGCTGAGCCAGCACAGCACCCCACACCTCATGGAAGGTGCTTGGCAATGAGACACCATGGCCATGAAGGGCTGCCTGGCGCTCTGTGCCCCAAAAACACACCAGGCTGAGCTATCTCCCCAGTCTGGCAGATCTAAAAAGGCTCAGGCAACACTTCTCTCCGAAAAGGGCAGCTGGAGGGTGCCACCACCCTCCCTCACCAGGTGACAGGGGTGTGAGCCAGGACACACAGGAGTCATGGCTCTGAGGCAGCAACTGGGGGAAGGAGAAAGCCTCCGCCTTCCCAAGATGCCCTGAGGGAGAAGCCTCCTGCAAAACCGGGACTTCAGCTGTCACCGTGGCGCTTCACCCTCGCTGCCCCCACCCTTCCCCACACCCCACCTGAGGTATCAGGTTCTTGTGGATCCTCTTCAGCTTGGCGCGCTTCCTCCCGTTCTTGGTGACGATTGTCTCCTCGTAGAACTCGTGAGCAAGATCCCCGTCCTCATCGTAGTACATGGAGCTGCCGGGAGGAGAGGGCAGGCGGGTGGGTGAGAGCCAGGCTGGGGGCCGGGGCAGGTCGGGGGCTCGGCAGGCCGGGCCCACCCCGGCCCTGGGGGGCTGCACCGACCATCCGCCGCCGTCCCGGCGGTGCCGGCGGCCCCTCCCGGCCCAAGCAGAGCCCCCCGCCCCGCGGCAGCCTCCCGGTCCCCTCGCGCCCCTCTCTCCCCCCGCTCTCACCCGCGCCGCGTGAACACGAAGGGGGTGGCGGCGCGCGCGGCCCGCGCCCGGGCCAGGGCCTGCTGCCCGCCGGGGCCCTCGGGGCCGCCGCCGCCCGCCGCCGGCGAGGCGAAGGGCCACAGCCCCCGCGACTTGGAGCCGCTGGCGCCCATGGCGGGGGCGGCGGCGGCGGCGGGAGCGGGGCCGCGGGGGAAGGGACGGGGCCGGCCCGGAGCCGCCCGGCGACACCGACCGAGCGCCGCCTGCGCCGCCGCTGCGCCACTTCCGCCGCCCGCCACACGTGACGGCGGCGCGGGGCGCGCCCTCCTTCCCGCCCCGGGGGCCGCGGGTTCGAGTCCCGCCCCTCCCGCTGCTCCCCCGAACCACGTGCGGGGACCCACGGCCCGCTGGCAGCGCGGAGGGTTCCGCGTCCCGTCCCTTCCCGCCCAGCCAAGGACACACCGCAGGCCAGGCCTCGTCACCAAGATGTCTTTATTGGTGCTCGATGCCCTGCTTCCCCCACAGGGACACTCACTCATCCAGGGACACTCTTCCCCCAGAACACCCATTCCCCTGGAGACACACACTCTTAGGTGATACTCACTCCCCCTGGACACGCACTCCCCTGGGGATACCCACTCCCAGAGGGACATTTGCTCCCTCCAGAACATCCACTCTTTTGGGGACACACACTCCCAGGTGACACTCGCTTCTTTCAGGACACCCACTCCCCTGGGGACACTCAAATCCCCAGGGGACACGCTCCCCTCAGGGCACCCACTCCTCTGGGGGCACACACTCCTGGGTGACACCACTCCCCTGGGGACATCCAATCTCCCAGGGGACACTCGCTCCCCTCAGGACACCCACTCCTCTGGGGACACACACTCCCAGGTGACACTCGCTCCCCTCTGGACACCCACTCCCCTGGGGACATCCAATCCCCCAGGTGACACTCGCTCCCCTGGGTTCACCCACTCCCGGGTGACACTCGCTCCCCCCAGGCACTCCCACTCTCTGGGCTGGCCCCATGGGGGCTGTGACAGCCCGGTGGGTCCGTGGTGCCCCGTTCCACCCCCCTCCCCGGTGCCCCCACCCGCCGGCGGACAAGAGTCCCGGTGCACTGGCTGGCCTCGGGCGCGGGCGTCGTGGTCACCCCGGCGTGCGTGTGGCCAGCGCCTCCTGCATCTTCTGGCGGCAGCGGGCGTAGCGGTGCTGCAGCCGCCGCACGTGCTCCTCCTCCTCCCGCTGCAGGATGCGCAGGAAGTTTTGCAGCTCCGGCAGCGTGAAGGCGTCCCACTGCAGGGCACAGGGGCGGCCATCGTGACGGGGACCTGCCGTGTCCCCCCGCGGCCCCTCTCCCCAGGGATGCGGGTGCCAGCCCCCTCCCTGTCCCCCCACACTCACGTTCACCTCCCCGGTCTCGTTCTCCTTCAGGACGAAGCTCAGCACCTTCTCGCTGGGGCCGGCCAGCAGCCGCAGCCGCAGGGGCTGCTCCTCGTCACCCAGCTTCCGCAGGTACACTGCAAGGGTGGCCACAGGTCACAGCAGGGACAATGCCAGGGGGACAGTGCCACCACGGGGACATAACCCTCACTGGGGACACCACTTTCACAGCAGACACCACTTCCATGGCAGACTCTGCTCACCCATGGTGACAAGGGACACTGCCACCAAAGGGGGGATACCACTGCTGCAGGGATGCTGCCACCACGAGGATGCTTCCACTACAGGGACATCATCACCGCAGAGTAAACTACTGACATGGGGGAATCTGCTGCCACGGGAGGGGGGAGGGGGGGAGGGACACGCCCATGGTGACACAGGACACTGCCACCAAAGCAGGGATACCACTGCTACAGGGATGCTGCCACCACAGAGATGCTGCTACCCTGGGAAAGCTGCCACTGTCAGGGAGGACACTGCTGCCATGATACTGCCACCATGGGGAACACCACTGCTATGAGAACACCACTGCCATGGGGATGCTCCCAGCATGGGAGACCCCATCATTCTGGAGACATTGCCACCATAGGGGAAACTGTCACTATGGGGACACAGCCACCGCTGTGGGGACAGGGCCACCTTGCTCATCAAGGACACTACCTTGCTCATCCTTCTCAGACCTCTCGAAGAGGGCAAACTTGCGGGGGTTGTCAACGACAGTGAACTTGCGGAGGAGGGCGTCGATGACCTCGCTGGCACGGGTGTGCGACAGGATGTGCAGGTGCTTCACGGTGCCCTTGGGCAGGTAGAAGGAGGTTCGGCGCTTCACGCCCTGGCTGTGCGGCCGCCCCGCCTGCAGGGCGGGGCCCCTCTTGGTGGCCGGCACTGAGACGGGGCGCACCAGCTTCAGCTGCACCTTGATGAAGCCGGTGTAGGAGCCGTCCTTGTTCTGCGAGACACCAGTGTGGGGGTGAGCGGAGACAGGGCAAGGCACCGTGCCCCTCCCGCCCAGCCCTGCGCTGGCCCCATACCAGGCTCATGAAGAGGTTGCTGTTGATCTGGCTGTTGTACTCCTTAATCCGCTGCTCCACCTGCGTCTGGTCCAGCTCTGTCTTCTCCCACTCGCTGGGCTCATCCTGTGTGACAGCAGCCGGGCTGAGCAGCACTGCGGGCGGGGGGAAGCTCCCCGCCTACCCCGGTTATCCCGCCGGCCCCCGGCCCATCCCGCGGCACCGACGGACACGCGCGGGCGGTTGCGCGGGGTTGCATCAGCCCGACTGGCGCTGAGCTGGGCTGTGCCGGGGAAGCACAGCTGAGCTCACCGCGGCCCCAGCCCTGCTCCGGGGACACTGGTACCGGCCGCCCCCCCAGCCCTCGTCCGTGGGGCTGCGGGGGTGGGTGAACTCGGCTGCGAGTACACCCGGGGATGAGCGTCCCTTCCCGGCACCTCAGATCTGAGAGGCGTCCCGAGGCAGAGCGCCGGCAGCCGACAGCCCGGCACCAGGGCGTCTGGGCAGGCTGGGAGCCCGCGGGGACGCCCTGGGATTTGAGGTAGGAGGGCCGGGCCGGGGGTGCAGCCCGCCCATGCCGCCGGCACCCCACTTCAAAGTGCTGGCCCCACACAAGGGACCCAGGCACCCCGGCTAGGCATCCCTGCCACCCGCACCCACTAATGAGTATTTACGTGGGGCCACGGAGCTGCCACACAGTGTTGCACATGTCCCCACGGCGCTGAGGGGCTCCCAGCCCTGAAAGCCACCCCAGAGCATGCAGGCACTGCCGGACCCTGCGGGGGTCCCTGCAGGATGGGGACAGCTGTGAGGCTGCCTAGGGGGCTCACCCTTGTCACCCCCAAATGCTGTCCTTTGCCCTCTCCGGGAGCAGCTCCAGCCTGGAGGGCCTTGGGGTGGCCGTGCCAGACAGCAAAACCCCACTGACCTCACGGTGCCTTGCTCACCCCACATCCACCTGGACAGGGCCAGCGTGTCCCATGGCATGGCCATGCTTGCTGCCACTCTTGCTGCCCCACGGCAGGGCCACGCTGACCCCATGCCCAGCCCCACACTCACCCCGCAGCAGGGTGATGCTCACCCCTATGCTCACCCCATAGCAGACCCACGCTCACTTCCCGGACAGGACCACCCACATCCCGTGTGTTCCCCACGCACCAAGCCCACCCTCGCCTGCTCCCCAGCACCCAGCCCCGGGGGGTGTGTGTGTGTGCTCCTCGATGATGTCAGCCGTGTCCCCCCCATGACGTCACGGCCCGGGACCGACCTGGCGGCGGCGTGGGCGACGGCCGAGGGAGGTGCGGGCGGTGTAGAAGAGCTCGGGCTCGGAGTCGGAGTCCTCCTGGCTGCAGTAGCCGCTGCTGGCCGTGCTGCCCCCCGTGCCCCCCGCGCCGCCCCGCCGCAGGGCCAGCGCCGCCGCCCCGCAGCCCCCGGTCCCGCCGCCCCCCGCACCGGTCCCGGGCACGGCCCCGGTCCCGGCGGCGCTGGCGGAGGGCACGGCCCGGCCCGCCCGGCCCGCGGCCCCGCCGGGCCGGCGGGCACACGGGCACACCCGGCCCCGCGCCAGCCCGGCCGGCCCCCGGGCTGGGGCCCGGCTCGCCCCGCTCCCGGCTCGGCTCAGCCCGGTCCCGCTCCTGGGCCCGGCTCCGCTCAGCCCGGCCCTTGGCTCGGCTCGGCTCGGCCCGCTCCCGGTCCCTATCGCGGCTCGACTCCGCCCGCTCCCGGGTCTCGGTCCCGGCTCAACTCCGCCCGACCCCAGTCTCAGTCCCGGCTCGGCTCAGCTCGGCCTCTATCGCGCTCCTGTCCCGGCTCGGCTCCGCCCGGTCCCTATCGCGGTCCCGGCTCGGCTCAGCGCGGCGTCTCTCGCGTCCTGCCCCGCTCCCGGCTCGGCGCGGTCCCGGTCGTGCCCCGCCCCGGCCGTGGGGCTGACGCGGGCCGGGGGCGGCGCGGCGGCCCCGCTTCCGGCGGTGACTTCACCCGCGCCCGCCCGGACACGGCTGTGCCCCGGCATGGCTCGGATCGGATCGGCTCGGTGCAGAGCGGGCAGCTCGGCACGGCACGGCTCCACCGCCCAGCATAGCCCTGCAAGGCTTGGCACAACCCAGCATGGCACAGATTCACACAGCCCAGCAAAGCCAAGCCCGTCCCAGTCTAGTCCAGCAAGGCTTGTCACAGCCTGGCATGGCACAGCCCGGCATGGCACAGCAAAACGCAGCAAGGCTCGTCACAGCTGTGACATGGCCTCACATGGCACAGCCTGACATAGCCCCCCCCAAGCCTGGGCAGCCCCCAGCTTGGTCACCCTCTGCCCATCCTCTCCTTCAGGGACGGGCCCAGGCCTTACCACGTTGGTGTCCTTCTCCAGCACCTGCTCGTTGCCATCATCCTCATCGCTGGCACCCGGGGGGCCACTGCAGTCCAACCGCACCAGGGCCCGGCACCGGTAGTGGCAGGTGAAGCTGCAGTCTGGGGACAGGGACAGGACCAGTTGTCACCGCCACTGGCAGCCTGGGTGTCAGGGTCAGGGCACTCATGCATGGTGGGACAAGGGCTGCCTGCCCATGCAGTGCCCAGGGATCCAGGGGTAGCACCCACGTGGGACATGGTGCTGTGCCACGTGCTGGCTGGTCCTGCAGTGCCTGTGCACCCTGCTGGGCTGTCCAGTGTCAGATGCTCAGTGCCTGGTACTGGGATGCCCAATACTAGGATGCCCAGCATGGGTACCAGTGTGGGTGCCCAATACTGGGATGCCCAGTGGCCAGTGAGGATGCCCAGTGCTGGAATACCTGGTACCTGGTGCAGGTGCCCAGTAAAGGGATGTGGGGTGTCTGGTGAGGGTATTCTGAATGGAGTTGCCCAGTGCCTGGTGAAGGTGCTCAGTATTGTGATGCCCAACTAGTGGGAGTGCCCAACACCAGGATGCCTGGTGGGAGTAATTGGTATCGAGCACCCAGTGTGGGTGCCCAGCGCTGGGATGTTCAGTGCCTGATGGTGGGATGCTTAATGCCCGGTGAAAGGGGTGCCCGGTGGTGGGGGTGCCCGGAGGTGGGCTATCCAGTGCTCGGTGGAGTCACCCAGTGCCGAGGAAGCAGAGTGGCGAGATGCCCGGTGCCTGGCAGGGATGCCAGGTGCCGGGATGCCCGGTGCTCGGAGGCAGGATGCTCAGTGGCAGGGGTGCGGGGGCCCGGGGCGCGGCGCGGTACTCACGGCGGCATTGGAGGCTCTTCCTGCCGCCGCCCCAGACGAAGTCCCCGCAGAGATCGCACCAGGTGTGCAGCCCGCGGCGCCGCGGCTCGAAGCGGTGCCCGCCGCCCGGTGCCGCCGTCAGCCGCGGGTCGGGATGCGCTCCGGGGCCGGGCCGGCGGGCCGGGCTGATGCGCAGAGCGTTGGCCCGTTCCAGGCGGCCCCGGCCCGGCCGCGGCTCCGGCTGCAGCTCCCGCAGCTCGATGAGTTCCATGGCCCGGCAGCCGCGGGCGCTGAGCGGCGGCGAGGCGGGGGCCGGCACCGGGGTCGGGGCCGGGGCGGGGACCGGGAGGAGCCGCCCTGTCCGGGCACCGCGGGGGAAACTGAGGCAGGAGAGGGGGAGACGGCGAAACGCCCCGGGGTCTCGATGGCCAACTCCGGTCCCGGCGAGGCCGGCGGGGCGGGCTGGAGGCGGGGATGAGGCTCCCGGAGCCGCCGCCGAGGAAGGGGGGGGGCCCGCTCCGGCAATCCCGCTCTCTCCACCACCTCTCTCAGGACCGGGACAAGCTGCGGTCTCTGCCTCAGTTCCCAGCGGGGAAGGGGCTAAAGGCACCTCTGGCAGCCAGAGAGCCTTGGACCCACTCGGGCTGGCTGCAGCCCTGGACGTGCAGCCTGGGTTTGGTGTGAGTTTACTCCATGCTCCAAGCTCGAGCTGCTCAGTCGGGGCTGCAGCTGGACCGAGGTGGTTTCCTGCCTGCTGTCATGGGTCCTGCAGCAGCAGCGCTGCTGCAAAGCCTATTTTGGGGTGTCAGGGAGTCTTAGGCACCCCATCAGCAAAAGGACATGGCCTCGCCAACCTTTCCCAGCCATGCTCAGACCAAGGCTGCAGCCCTTCGGCAGTGAGAGGTGAGGATGCACCCCAGGTACATCCCCACCAGTAAACCCTGTTTACTGGTGATACTGGGGGGCAGGGGGCCAAGCCCTCGGTGCTAACACCACATCAACAGAGAGGAAAGGGGGGGAATTGTCCCTGCAAGGTGGCAGATGAGGAACACCCGAGAAATTCACAGCGAGGTGTTTGTGCAAACCACATCCTCTGCTCCCCACGCTGCTCTAACGACAGTAAGAGGTGGTGGGAGGCCTTCTCGCCCCCTTCCCTCACCGGCTGCAGAGGGCTTGGTCCCTCTGGTAACCACATCCTTAGAGGCTTTTTTTGGGTTCTCTGGGATTTCTGTTGTTGCAGAGGGGAAAACGGACACACATGCCTCTCCCTGGGTGCAAGGGAGGAAAGGAAGCAGTTTAGCATCTTCAGCTAGGAGAAGAAAAAGCAGGAGCCAAGCAGCTGTGGGGTGCACAAGGAGTTTTATTAGAGAAGGCAGCATGGTGGGGTAGTGGGAGAGGAGAGGACAAGCCCGGCCAGTGCTGCCTGGGGTTGGGAGCAGGCAGAAGGGGCCTTTGCCAGCTTCTCTCCAGCTGCTGGGCTGCACACTGGGGAACCTCAGCCTCGCTGAGCTATGGGCCAGATGCCAGACACCCCTTCTCTTACAGGTCATCCACAACACTCCTCGGCACCTCAGCCATCAGGTTGCAGGCAGGCTTGTGCTTCTGCCAGTGCTGAACCTGGCAGGCCCTGTGGAGGGTAAAGCTGCTGTCAGGGGCAGTGGAGCCATGTCCACCTCTGGGAGTGAAGGAGTAACAAGGACAAACCCCAGCACCACAGTCCCCTGGGCACTGGAGGGGAGCTGGCATGGCCCAGCATTAGCCCAAGAGGGAGATGGATGTGGCCCCCAGTTCCGGGGGCTAAGACGGTTTAGCACCAGACCTTGCCAGATGGTTCAGGACCAGAGAAGATTTAATTTACTGCCACCATCCCAGCTGCCACATCCCAGCCTGTCACCTGCACCCACGGGGTCATGGGTGCTTTCCTCCCCACCCCTGCCACACCAAGATGCAGAGGAAAGAAACAGTGACACCACAGAAAACCCAGCCCGTCACTGCTGTCACTGTGGGTAGAGGCAGCTCAGCACCTCACAGCTGCAACACAACACTCACCAGCACCTCCTGCACCAGCAGCCCAGCACATCACCCTCCCACAAGATTTGGAGAGGTACGTGGCCAGTGGAGAGCCGGCGGTGCTGAACAGGGGTGGGACTCCTGGCTTGCCCTGGCCCTTTCTCAGTATCCTCTGGTGAGGTCTCTGGTGCTCTGGGGAGCACTGAAGGGCTGCAGGGGGGGCCACAGAGGACTGCAGGGGACACAGGGGGTGGCAAGGCTCCCTTACCGCGTGCAGTACCATTCGTTCCGGCAGCGAGAGCACCTCTTGGCTGCTTCTACACCACACACCCTGCAGCGGGGCTTGTCAGGGGCCAGAGCCTCCATCATGTCCAGGCTGTAGGTTTGTGCCCACCTGTGCAGGCAGAGAGGGGTGAGGTTGTTCATGGGGAACTGCTGACCTGCAGCAAGCTGTCCCCACTGCACCCTGCCACCACAGACCCCTCTGTCCTCCCAGTGCTGAGCTCCAGCCCCTGCTAATGGGGATACTGGCCCCACTGGCACCCCATGTGCACGTACCAGGGCCTCACCTGCGTGCCTGGAGCTTCAGCTCCTCCTCGGTGGGGCTGAAGGCGTGCTTCACCTGGTGCTTGGCAATGGCCTCCCACTTCCCCGAGTTTTTCTTGAGGATGTGGTCCCAGATGACAGGAACCTGGTGGGAGAGGCAGGGCAGGAGGAAGGGGTTCTAGCAGTCTGACCAAAGGTGCTGTGGTTTGGGGCTGTTCAGGGGGGAGGCAGCCAGCTCTGGGCACAAGGGTGAGGGTGAGCAGAGGCAATGTGTGCTTTTGGGTACATGGAGGGGAAGGATCCACTTGCCAATGAGCGTTCAGGTGAAACAAAGCAAAACTTGGGGTCTGGTTGGGAATGAGTATTCAGCCCCGAGGCCTGGGCTCCTGAAGAGAAAGCCCTGGGATCTCAGCACCCTGCGTGCTGGCAGCAGCATGAACCCCGTGCTCCGGAGCCGTTTGCCTGAGCAGATTTTTCCACTCGTCACTTCCCTGAAGATGAACACTCGGGGAAGGGCTGGCCAGTTCAAAAGGAAACGCGCCAGCCAAGAGCAGCGTGGGGAGTTCAAGCTCTGGAGAGGACGATGCTGCTTCAAACAGCACTGCCTTCTCCAGCAGAGTAAAAATAGCCAGGCCTGGAAGGGGAGGAGGCTGCTCTGGGAGCAACCGAATGGAAAAAGGCCTTTCCTTAGGTTGGCTCAGTGACAAGGAGTGAGTTCACTGCTTTCTGGGCAGAGCAGGGAGCCCATGTCTGTGCTTCCAGCTGGCTCCCCCTGCCTGCCCCCCGGGCTTAGCCCTGGTCATTGGCACGAGCAGGAGCAGCAAGGGCACAAAAGCAGAGCTACAAGAAGGGCAGCAGCCTGGACAGGGTCCCCAGCGTGGCAGCTGCCTGTTGCTGTGCCACCGACACGCTGGCAGTCGAGGCACTTGGCCTGAGTCCATGTCCACCTCCGCCCTGCTGCCATCCCCAGCCCCAACCACTCAGCTTGCTGGTCTGCAGCTTCCCCAGGCCCAGCTCTTGGCCTGGGCTGTGCCTACGGATCAGCCACATCCAGTGCTGACAGGGTACGTCACCCTCCTCCCAGGCCATGGGCCAGGTACGTGGGGACAGTGTGCTTCCCCTCCACACAGCCCAAAAGGCCACTGCCCAACCTACTCATCTGCTCCAGGAAGTGGCGTGGGAGCTTCCAGCAGTGGGGAAGAGCCTCTGCTCTCCCAGCTCTTCTCAGTAGCCTCTTTGCAGATCTGCCCCCACACTCAGTTTCTCCCCTCAGCTCACGAGAAGGCAGTGGAAACGCTTTTCTCCAGAGACTACCACTGCACAGATTAAAAACCCAAGAACCTCATGGGTGTTTGAAGACCATCAGTGCCCAACTCCCGAGGTCCACACACCAGCTGGGACCAGTTTGACTCCAGCCTCTATCAGCAGACTGTGTTGTCCCTCAGTACACAGTGTGCCAAGAAGCCCCCAGCCAGGGCTGTAAAAGGGGACACTTCCCAGGGAAGTCCAGAATTCAGCAGGAAAACACTGATAAAAGTTAGATGAAGAGTTAATTGTCAAAACAAGCCAGGGGCTGTGTCTGCTCCATGCAGCCACCATCCCAGGGACTCTGTGTGACCTGGAGAGCTGTTTATACCACAGCATTTATGTCTTTAGATGTGAGTGCTTGGCCACTGCAGTGGCAGGACAAAGCTCTCACATCACCCACAGGTAGCTTTGCTGGCAATAAGAGTGTAACTACAAGATGGGTGCTTGGCTGTTTTTCCAGGGTACCTCTCCAGAGTTTAGTGGGAGAAGAAGGAGGTAGAGAGTTATCAGGCTTAAAGCAGAGCATCTGGAGAGGTGAAGGAAGAGCCAAAGGATACCTGCTCCAGGATGAGATCCTTTTTGGGGGGAGCTGGCTCTGTCACTGCCAGGTGGCTCAGAAATCTCTGCATCTCCATCAGGTTGGGCAGCTGGTCAATGAGGACATCTGTCAGGAACACACGGAGCTGTGGCCACGGAGGGGAGAGAGAATGGAGAGAGGTCAAGACAAAGGAGTCAGAGCTGGGGAAGCAGCAGGGCAAGAGCAGGGGTTTGTGAGGCACTGGCAGAGTGAACCACAGGGGTCTCATGAGGTGCATTAAGGAAGGCAAGCTTTGCTGCTGCTGGTACAGTGACAGACCTGCTGTTATCCCACCGCTGGCTCCTTGGAGCGCACAGTGAGGATGGGTGAGAGTCCAGAGGTGCCCAGTGCTGGCAAGGTCCCACTCTGCTGCAAGGCCCATGGCCTTTGTGCTGCAGGGTCCTACCTTGAGGAGCTGGCTCTTGTTGAAGCCATCAAAGTGGCATTTGCGCTGGCACTCGGGGCTGAGCAGGAGGTTGAGGAGGGCAAGCCACACCTGCCCATCGAGTTTGGTCATCTTCACCTGGTCTTCAGGGGGCACCACGTGCCATGTGCCATTCTCAAACTTCTTGAGCTTGCCTGAGGGACAGAAGGAGCAGGGAGGCACAGTACTGCCTGAGGGAAGACAGCTCAGAGGTGGGGATGCTGGCCTGTGGTCACTGCCTCACTTCACTTGCAGGAAAGTCCCTCTGCTTCTGCCTGCCTCAGTTTCCCCACCCGTTGCTCAGCATAGCAGCCTACTTTGTACCGAGGCAATATATTAGAGAGTAAGAAAAGCAGAAAGAATAGGTATTAAAACAATAGGGCTGTGGCAGGAATGGAAAGATCTC